TCTTCCAAATGAATTTCTTGCATTGTTGCGTGGTAATGCTGGCCAATGCTTCGGCCTCGATCCACTTGGTGAAGTAATCGATGGCTACGATTACGAACTTCTTCCCTCCTTGAGCGACTGGGAAGGCTCCAATGATATCAACCCCGAATCTAGCGAATGGGATGACATTCGATACGGGGTGGTAGTAGGTCGCCGGTCTACCGGGATACTTATAGAATACTTGGCACGTCCTGCATTTCTGGACGTACCTTTCACAATCCTGGACAATTGTTGGCCAGTAATATCCCAACAAGATGATGCGCTGGGAAAGCGTACGGGACATTTGATGCGCCGCGCATACGCCTTCGTGGACTTCCGCTATGACTCGCTCAGCTTCCCGGTTGGTTAGACATCTGAGGAGTGGCCCCCTAAATGCCCTTTTATACAGCTTTCCATCAAGAATCTGGAATCGGGGTGCCCTGAGCTTCACTTTTCTTGCCCGGTCATCTTGTTCTGGCAAGCTCCCATCCGTCAAATATTCCATCAGATCATACATCCAATGGTCGTCCGCCCCGACCAAGTTTGACCGGTAAAACTGGCTTCCGGCAGTTATTGCGGCGACTTCCAATTTCTCGATGCTTGCACGGTCAAGGATCTCTACCCGGGCAAGTTTCGAAACATGCTCAGGAGCATACTGCGTCAATTTGGAGAGAAGGTCTGCATCCGCGTTCTCCGCCTGGGGAATTTGGGCGATCTTGAATTCTTCGAAGCCTTTCAACAGGGCAAGTACAAGGTCCTTGTATTGTGCCATGCGTCCTTCCCTTGCTTCCATGTTACCGGTCACCTGCCCTACTATCAGGCTAGAGTCAGATATGATACTGACCCGGCTGATTCTCAGGGCTTGGGCAAGTCTGAGCCCTCCAGCCAGAGCTTCATATTCTGCCTCATTGTTCGTCAGCTTGAAATTGAAGACGATTGCATGGTAGATCTTGAACCCTTCTGGGGTGGCGAACACGATACCACCCCCGTATCCTCTAGGACCGGACGCCCCATCAACTGCCATCTCCCACCATTGCTCAGTGGGCTCGTTGACCGGTAAATCTGGAGTTAGACCGGTCATTTCCACGAGGAAGTCAGCTAGGGCCTGTCCCTTAATTGCCGACCTCGGCCGGTACTCAATGTGGAATTGAGTTAACATCATCGCCCACTTTACCATCCTCCCGGAGGATGTTGAATTTCGCAACACTGCACCCAGCGGTTGGTCAGTCAAGACTTCTACCGGGTGAGCTTGGAAGTAGGATGTTAACTTTTTTGCGGNGTTGGCCAGCCAATCCGGGTACTTGACTTCCCGGATGTGACCAACACTGAGGAGGTCTTTCACTTCCTTCTTGACGAAGTCTCGCCGGTCACTGGCCAGGTACCGCTTCTTTTGGCGTACCGGTCGACTTCCCTCCCTCACGGCCAACCGGTGGCAGATAACAGAGCGATCTATCCCGGGCATATCCGCCACGCTCCATGCGAATATGCCCGCGTATTCTTGGAGGACCCATGTAATCTGCTCCTTGAGATCCTCAGGGAGATTTGCTCCAATTCTGACCATCCTCGAAGAATCACCCGGGTGAAGTTCGATTTCCACCGTCTCAGCCTCGGGTTCCAGTTTCTCCCGGGTCTCTCCCTTTGTGATCTCTTGGGAGATGACATTGACCCCCCTGGTCATTTTCTTGACTGCCCGGGCATAGCATTCCCGGGCGTTCCTCTGGTCTCCCTTCACCTCACTCACACCACCTGGAGTGTGGAACTTCATGCATAGATGAGGCATGGAAATCACCGCCCCGACCTTATTGATGCCTGGCCTTCCTAGGATTGCGTTGTGGATGCACTTGATGTCCACAACTATGAACCGCATCTTCTTCCACACGGTCTTTTCACCTGATCCTAGTTCGACCGGTAGAACTATGGATCCTTCAGCTTCAACGGTATCCCCCGTGAAGCCTGAGAGAGGGGTTTTGAGGGGTTCAAGTTGTGTTTGACACAACCTGAGTTTCTGGAAGGTCTCCAGGTATAAGATGTTGACACTGCTACCGGTGTCAACAAGTACCCGGGCGACATCCACCCCATTAATGTCCATGGTGATGACCAATGGATCATTGTGATCTTCACCGGTAGGAGGGAGATCCCGGTCAGTAAAGACGATAGGCTCCTTCCTAGTATGCTTACGCCTGGGCGGTTTAGCACTTACCTCTCCAACGTAAATGCTCCGGACCCAGTTCTTCCGCTGCGCGGCTGAATCTCCACCCTCGGGTCCTCCGAAGATCATGCCGATGTGTTCTTTTTCGGGGGCAGGTTGCCGCTCCCTTGGCCGGTTATTCCTCCGCCGGTCATTGTCCCGGTCATTCCCTGGGGCAGTTGGCCTAACCCACTGATGACTCTTCTCCTGGGCTTTCTGCAAGTAATCTTTGCCCAGCTC